CTACAGGTAGCAGACCAGTAAATAAACTTCCATAGACCCTAATGGTAAATGCTCCCACTTCAAAAATTCGGGAAAAATACTCACAACTCTCCAAGGTGTTCGAGACGCACATCAAATTAAAGCTTATTTCATCATCTTTCATTTTCTTTTCAATTTTCGGGGGGTCAACTGATGACTTTTAGGGGAAATTTCCATCTGAAGATGATCACCCCTGAAAATAGTCCTGAAGCCCATCGCCATTTTGAAAAACGTACACTCCATTGCAAAATAGAGCGCTTTTCGGGTCCAAATTACATCAAAATTACACAGAATTGCAAGCTCCCAGTCCTGTGCACGGCTTCCACCCATATTTTTTTACAAACCCTCAAGTTCATGGCCCAAAGCATGCCCAAATACCGAAGATTTTGAGGGCATGCAAATCGTGATTTGGCCGGCGCAGGCAATTTCGGACCGATTTACTGGTCTGCACCCTATAGAGAAGCGAGGTTTTGAAAAATTTCCCCAAACCACTTGAACGGCACGAGGAAGGATGGATGACTCATATTTCATCAAAAAAATGCAAGAAAAAAAATCTGTGACTGCGATTTCTGGCCTGAAAACAAGCCCTCTGTTTGCGGCTACCGTACTGTAGGGCGCCCCCAACGGGCTTTAATTGAGTTTTTGCTCTTTCCGACCCCAAATTACCCCCCCCCCCCTTGTTCGCTCGAAATTGCTGTGATCGGACGACGGTCCATCGGCCCTATTCAGATTTTGGGCGCATTTGTTGCGGAACCGCCATTGGTGACCCCTTTTGAAACGCTGCCCCCCCCCCAGGTTCCGCCCCCCTGAAAAAAAAACACCCCGCAAACATTTGACAAACAAACGTGGAAGGCGCCATTTTGAAACTACAGGTAGCAGACCAGTAAATAAACTTCCATAGACCCTAATGGTAAATGCTCCCACTTCAAAAATTCGGGAAAAATACTCACAACTCTCCAAGGTGTTCGAGACGCACATCAAATTAAAGCTTATTTCATCATCTTTCATTTTCTTTTCAATTTTCGGGGGTCAACTGATGACTTTTAGGGGAAATTTCCATCTGAAGATGATCACCCCTGAAAATAGTCCTGAAGCCCATCGCCATTTTGAAAAACGTACACTCCATTGCAAAATAGAGCGCTTTTCGGGTCCAAATTACATCAAAATTACACAGAATTGCAAGCTCCCAGTCCTGTGCACGGCTTCCACCCATTTTTTTTTACAAACCCTCAAGTTCATGGCCCAAAGCATGCCCAAATACCGAAGATTTTGAGGGCATGCAAATCGTGATTTGGCCGGCGCAGGCAATTTCGGACCGATTTACTGGTCTGCACCCTATAGAGAAGCGAGGTTTTGAAAAATTTCCCCAAACCACTTGAACGGCACGAGGAAGGATGGATGACTCATATTTCATCAAAAAAATGCAAGAAAAAAAATCTGTGACTGCGATTTCTGGCCTGAAAACAAGCCCTCTGTTTGCGGCTACCGTACTGTAGGGCGCCCCCAACGGGCTTTAATTGAGTTTTTGCTCTTTCCGACCCCAAATTACCCCCCCCCCCCTTGTTCGCTCGAAATTGCTGTGATCGGACGACGGTCCATCGGCCCTATTCAGATTTTGGGCGCATTTGTTGCGGAACCGCCATTGGTGACCCCTTTTGAAACGCTGCCCCCCCCCCCCAGGTTCCGCCCCCCTGAAAAAAAAACACCCCGCAAACATTTGACAAACAAACGTGGAAGGCGCCATTTTGAAACTACAGGTAGCAGACCAGTAAATAAACTTCCATAGACCCTAATGGTAAATGCTCCCACTTCAAAAATTCGGGAAAAATACTCACAACTCTCCAAGGTGTTCGAGACGCACATCAAATTAAAGCTTATTTCATCATCTTCATTTTCTTTTCAATTTTCGGGGGGTCAACTGATGACTTTTAGGGGAAATTTCCATCTGAAGATGATCACCCCTGAAAATAGTCCTGAAGCCCATCGCCATTTTGAAAAACGTACACTCCATTGCAAAATAGAGCGCTTTTCGGGTCCAAATTACATCAAAATTACACAGAATTGCAAGCTCCCAGTCCTGTGCACGGCTTCCACCCATATTTTTTTACAAACCCTCAAGTTCATGGCCCAAAGCATGCCCAAATACCGAAGATTTTGAGGGCATGCAAATCGTGATTTGGCCGGCGCAGGCAATTTCGGACCGATTTACTGGTCTGCACCCTATAGAGAAGCGAGGTTTTGAAAAATTTCCCCAAACCACTTGAACGGCACGAGGAAGGATGGATGACTCATATTTCATCAAAAAAATGCAAGAAAAAAAATCTGTGACTGCGATTTCTGGCCTGAAAACAAGCCCTCTGTTTGCGGCTACCGTACTGTAGGGCGCCCCCAACGGGCTTTAATTGAGTTTTTGCTCTTTCCGACCCCAAATTACCCCCCCCCCCCTTGTTCGCTCGAAATTGCTGTGATCGGACGACGGTCCATCGGCCCTATTCAGATTTTGGGCGCATTTGTTGCGGAACCGCCATTGGTGACCCCTTTTGAAACGCTGCCCCCCCCCCCCAGGTTCCGCCCCCCTGAAAAAAAAACACCCCGCAAACATTTGACAAACAAACGTGGAAGGCGCCATTTTGAAACTACAGGTAGCAGACCAGTAAATAAACTTCCATAGACCCTAATGGTAAATGCTCCCACTTCAAAAATTCGGGAAAAATACTCACAACTCTCCAAGGTGTTCGAGACGCACATCAAATTAAAGCTTATTTCATCATCTTTCATTTTCTTTTCAATTTTCGGGGGGTCAACTGATGACTTTTAGGGGAAATTTCCATCTGAAGATGATCACCCCTGAAAATAGTCCTGAAGCCCATCGCCATTTTGAAAAACGTACACTCCATTGCAAAATAGAGCGCTTTTCGGGTCCAAATTACATCAAAATTACACAGAATTGCAAGCTCCCAGTCCTGTGCACGGCTTCCACCCATATTTTTTTACAAACCCTCAAGTTCATGGCCCAAAGCATGCCCAAATACCGAAGATTTTGAGGGCATGCAAATCGTGATTTGGCCGGCGCAGGCAATTTCGGACCGATTTACTGGTCTGCACCCTATAGAGAAGCGAGGTTTTGAAAAATTTCCCCAAACCACTTGAACGGCACGAGGAAGGATGGATGACTCATATTTCATCAAAAAATGCAAGAAAAAAAATCTGTGACTGCGATTTCTGGCCTGAAAACAAGCCCTCTGTTTGCGGCTACCGTACTGTAGGGCGCCCCCAACGGGCTTTAATTGAGTTTTTGCTCTTTCCGACCCCAAATTACCCCCCCCCCCCTTGTTCGCTCGAAATTGCTGTGATCGGACGACGGTCCATCGGCCCTATTCAGATTTTGGGCGCATTTGTTGCGGAACCGCCATTGGTGACCCCTTTTGAAACGCTGCCCCCCCCCCCCAGGTTCCGCCCCCCTGAAAAAAAAAACACCCCGCAAACATTTGACAAACAAACGTGGAAGGCGCCATTTTGAAACTACAGGTAGCAGACCAGTAAATAAACTTCCATAGACCCTAATGGTAAATGCTCCCACTTCAAAAATTCGGGAAAAATACTCACAACTCTCCAAGGTGTTCGAGACGCACATCAAATTAAAGCTTATTTCATCATCTTTCATTTTCTTTTCAATTTTCGGGGGGTCAACTGATGACTTTTAGGGGAAATTTCCATCTGAAGATGATCACCCCTGAAAATAGTCCTGAAGCCCATCGCCATTTTGAAAAACGATGCCTACACTCCATTGCAAAATAGAGCGCTTTTCGGGTCCAAATTACATCAAAATTACACAGAATTGCAAGCTCCCAGTCCTGTGCACGGCTTCCACCCATATTTTTTACAAACCCTCAAGTTCATGGCCCAAAGCATGCCCAAATACCGAAGATTTTGAGGGCATGCAAATCGTGATTTGGCCGGCGCAGGCAATTTCGGACCGATTTACTGGTCTGCACCCTGAAGGTTTTGACTGGTCTCGGCGGTGCTCAGCTGTTGTGCCCATCATGTCCGATGCTGATAAGGTAATGGAGTTGATGATGTTTCGGATGAGTTGGGAACATCCAGTCTTCTTAAGATGTCTTTTCTATAGATAAAAATTAGATTTTCCTGTATGCACTTATCGTGAAAACTTACGCAAAGCCGCTATACTGATTTTTTTTCCTTTGGGGGGGGGGGGGCTCAAAATTATGCAGATATGTAACATTTTTTAACATAAAGAGAATGATGTTTCGATCAGATCTGCACTTATCTTTTCTTGAAATTTTGTTCCCGCATGAAACATTGCCTTTGCACGTATCCTAAAGTAAGAGGAGTGTACTTTTTTGAAAGAAGACTTAAATTTTTTGAATTATTCATTTTGAAGCAGACTGAAATTAGTTAGTAATTTACTTCAATTCAATATGGCCAACTCGTTCATGGGGCCCATTAATTGACTTTACTAGGCTGCAGAAAAAATAATGGCTTCTTGTATGCAGCTCTATGCACGTTGTCACGTACACTTGTATATGTACGTAGGCTACTATATTGTAATAGAGGAATTGGAGGCTTTCAGGTCAACTCGGTCAGTAACCAACTCGGTCCGAGTCAACTCGGTAACCGACTCCGTAACCGACTCGGTCCGTGACCAACTCGGTCCGTGACCAACTCGGCCCGTGACTGACTCGGTCCATGAGCAACTCGGTCCGTAACCAGCTCGGTCCCTATGGGAAAATGTACGCAAAAAGATTGCATATCTTTGTGACAAGGCGATCCCGATAGTATTTTAGGCGGCCCACCCCGTCGCCCGCTGAGCTGAGGTTGCGTGGACCATGGAGAAAGAAATCCACAGAGGGGCCAACATGAAAAATATTTAAATGCTGCTTTGCCGTTATTCACTACCCACACCCCACTGACAGTGGTCAGTGACATCCTAGACCTTACGATTACAGACTTATATAATATTGCGGCCGGGCGCGGCACTGTCACCGGCCTGCACCGGCCGTGCATTAAGGCGACGGCCGGTGGGGCTGTGCGGCCAGGCGCACAGCCCCATGGCCGGCCGTACCGTACCGTGCACCGTAGCGATGGCCAGTGGGGATGTGCGGTCAGGCGCGGCACTGCCCGGGCACCGGCCGTGCACTGTTTTTCGCACATTTTCCCATCGGGACCGAGCTGGTTACGGACCGAGTTGGTCATGAACCGAGTTGGTCATGGACCGAGTCGGTCACGGACCGAGTTGACTCGGACCGAGTTGGTCACGGACCGAGTTGACCGGCACGCAATTGGAGGCGGACTTTTCCAAAATGGAGTTGCCCACAACTGTGATAAAAAGAAACTGTGACGGAAAATTAACAAATTTCGGCACATTGGGGGAGGTAAGCAGCAGTAGTAACACGGTAATCCTTAGAAGGCTTAGTCCCACTAACTGGGGCGCTTGACCTCCTTTTTTGACATTTGGGATGTTGGTCTGTTGTACATGTAGGCTAGCCCCATATGTGGCCTATTAATACTGGACTTGTTGATGTTGTGCCCATTCTTGAAAATCACGCAATCTTAAGAATGTGCATGCACATTCTCATGATTGTGCAACTGGATCCTTGCGCAATCTTCGCAAAAAATAACTATTCCAGATTGAGCGCACATTCTTAAGAATGCGCGACAAGATAACGGTCTTGTTGGCCGAGCACCTGCTGCGCTTGGCAAGTCTAGCATCCTCTTTCACTGATTCTTAATAATTATACTGTTGCAATGCAAGGCGCTGAAAAGTAGAGTGGATATGAAAAGTATACGCGTATTGGGATGGGGGGGGGGGGGACCGGGGAAAAAATAAGAGACATAATAATAGTGTATTGGAAAGAATTCTGATTTTTGTGATAATAAAAGGGGGGGGGGGGACGTAAGAATGAAGAATGTGAAGAATGAGAATGAATACTGTGACATCTCATAGTGCTAATGCTATTTCTCATTTAAATTGCCACCAGTTTATTGTTCACAGTGTCACACCCCCATCATTACGCCGCAGAGCTGGATTCTATCTAGTCAAAAAAGCATTTTTTTTTCGTGGCATGCATTTGATAACAGGGACTTGTAACTTGTCTAGCCTAAACAAAGCACTTCCCAGACTAGTTCCCAGTCCTCCGTTATTACAAAACTTTCCATAGTCATGATAGTGGGCAGAAAAAAAGCAATAGTAACAGGTTTAATTTGATTCAAATTATCGTAGTTATACGAGTACAGAAGCATAGAACATTTTCTTTCCTTTTTATATGAATTGTTTCCCTTTTAACCACTATACATTTCATTTAACATAATTATGGGCAAGATTACCATATATGCGAAGTTCACTAATTTTCCTCTGTATTGACTAACAAGCCCCCAGATAGCAATTTCATGTCATCAAAGTCAATTTGAGCAGTGAGAAAATACAAGCATTTTCTTAGAAAACACTTATTAAATATTGTTCAGTCCAATCTCATAGGGTTTGTACACAGGGTGTTGAGTGAACTTCGTATATGGAAATCTTTCCTAATTATGTCGTGCAATGTTTGTTAAGATTGTGCAAAATTCATAAATTCACGTGATATTCCCAGCCAATCTTAAGAATGAGCGCTCATTCTTAAGAACGCGTGCTCATTTTTAAGAATGCGCGCTCATTCTTAAGAATGCGCGCCCATTCTTAAGATTGCGTGATTTTCAAGAATGGGCACAACAGACTGCCTCCGTAAACAAATCATAGGCAACACATCCACATGTACAAAAACGTGTCGCACTTTGCCAAATTTTGATTTTCACATTTAGGCTTAGTTTGTAGGGTTTTTTGCTTTAGAAGCTTACTCACCCTCTTTATAGGCTAATCAGAAAGTGCTGCCTTTTTCAGATGTCCGTTTTTCGTGAAATTTCCAGATACATTTGCACACGTTTGCGTATCAAAATTTCAAGATGAAATTTCACAAAAATTAGACATGTGAAAGAGGCAGCACTTTCTGATTAGCCTATACAGAGGGTGAGAATGCTTCTAAACCAAAAAAAAACCTTCAAAGTAAGCCTAAATGTGAAAATCAAAATTTGGCAAAGTGCGACACGTTTTTGTACATGTGGATGTGTGGCCTATGTTTACGGAGGCAGTCCAGTAAATAGGCCACATTTATGAGGCTACATGTAGGCCTACTACTACAGTACGAACATCCCAAATGTCAAAAATCCCTAACATGGCGCACTTCGAAGCTTACCCAAATTTCCTTGTATAGTGTTACCAAACCTCTTTGTTGACAAACCTCAAATTCATGCAGTAAAATACTAGTACTTTTACCTTTAAATTAATGCTTGCTATTTAACCTCTGTGAACAATTTCGGTTTCATAAAATTTAATCCGAAATTCAAGAACGGTGGCGTCTGGAAATTGGGCACAAATTGGCGGAGTTTTCCCTAACGTGGCGCACTTGAATAAATCTCGGAAAATTCCAGATTAACATTTAAGAATTTCTGTAAACCTGATAAATTCTGATAAATAATTATTATCTCTACTTACTTACCCAGCCAGATGTTTGTCAGAAAATTATTTTCTTATTTTTCCTGGCATTTTCAAAGGGTTCACTTTGCACTTGAAAATACAATCGAAAAATCACGTCAAAATAAATTTTTCTTCTAACTTTGTTACGGGTAAATAACCTCGCGATTTATGAACAGGAGTGTTTAGAACTTGATGAAATTTCACTTTCTGTGAAATTTCAGTTAAAACTTTTGCTCTAGGTAGGCGCTACAGGCGAAAAATCAAAGTGCGCCACGTTGGGGGCTGCGCCACGTTAAGGTACATCAACAATAGGCTAGGCCCTCTAGCTGCCTAGTGCCCCAGTGGGACTAGGTAATCCTTTTCTTTAGGACACCTCTATTTTCACGAGTTCTGTTCAAAACTGACTTTGGCAGATGACTGTCCAGTAGTACCAAAGTGACTTTTGCAGGCTAAAGCAGTCTTTATGGGCCTATTGTTTCCCCCACCCCTCCCCGTAGCCCCATAATGTGGCCAATTTACTGGACTAGGCCTAGGCCTACCTCCGTAAATAAAGGCCACACTTCAACATGTTCAACCATGTACAAAAACATGTCAAACTTTGTCACATTTTGATTTTCACATTTAGGCTTAGTTTGTAGTTTATTTTTGCTTTAGAAGCATACTAAATCTCTTTATACTTAATAGGCTAATCAGAAAGTGCTGCCTTTTTCAAATGTCTAATTTTCGTGAAATTTCATGTTGAAATTTTGATACGCAAACGTGTGCAAACGAATCTGTACATGGTTGAAGTGTGCATTGGTGATTGGTCACAGCTGTTCAAGAGCACGGTGCTGTATACAGTGTAGAAACACACAATGTGTATATTGTACATTGACTGAGTACGACAGGAAAAACGTATTCGTGCTCCGTCACGTAGGATGTAAACAACCGGTTTTTTTTTTTCTTTTCTCGCGAATGGTAAGACAGGTTGGTTTCCTTTCAACCAGATGTTTGAAATTGGGATTTCAGAACCTTGTACCCCTTTAAAGCTACCGGTATAGTCCATCATTTGTAATTTGTGCATTTTTTACGTTTGAAGCAACAGAAGTGTTCAAAATCTAATGAAGGATACTGAACAACTTACTTGATAAAGTTTCAGCTCAGCTTCAGCTTCAGCTTCATATTCTGAGAAAAACAGCATTCTAGGATCTCAATTTTAAATCAAAAGTTGCTAAATCATGTTTCGAATTGTTTTGAATTGCAGCTCTACGCGATGTTGCACACTGATCCAACGAATTATAGCAACCGCGCGCTCGTGTGCGTCGTTCCAATGCTTGTGCGCGCGCTGCGCCGAATAACAAAACGAACAACTAATTTAAATTTTCCTACGGTGCTTCTTAAGAAGCACCGTTGGAAATGCCTTCTTTCGTTGATTTCTTCAAAATGAGAGCTTGCCAGAAAGGATAATTTCACAGGGAGTTTAGTCCCCTAATAGGCCTACTATCTTTCAACCAGTATGTTTTTCAACAATAATTACGCCGGTTGCTTTTTTGGATAGCTGCAAATGATGGACTCGGGCTTTAAGTCCACAGATTTATGAACGGAGCGTGCATGAGCGTGTGGCCACGTTTACGGGTTGAGGTGAAACGGTAGGCCCATATGGATCTCCTGGCCTTGTTTACAGCTTTTTAAAATTAAAACAGTTTCAAAATTCGAGTAACTTCATAATTATCAAATCAGGATGATAAAACATACATGTACATGTACTTGTTAAAATTCACAAGGAAAGAAAAGAGAAAAAGGACTATTCCTTGTGGCGAATGTATACATATACATGTATATAAAGCACCTGGCAACGCAAGGGACTTGACCGGGGCCCGTGATGCTGCTTACCGTATATCATTAGTTCTGGATGCAGTCTACCACATCCACTGCCGTGATGCGTGCTGTACGTGTATTCGAAAACAGCCTAGTGATCTGTCGTCTCTTTGGACTGAATATTCACCAGAATAACCTGGGGATTGTCTGTAGATCACGAAGAATGTTGTGGTAGGACTTTTGATGCTCATCTAGAATTTTTATAATGAACATAATACTTTGAATCCTTGGATAAAACATTGCTGGTTTTTTTACGGAAACTTTATAAACCTACCACTCATCAGAGCCATGTTGTCGGGTGTTTTCAGTTGGTCCAGTTGCAGTATCCATGTTTTCGCTGGTCTCTTTTTCGTGCAGTTCGGGCTCAAATTTATATGGAAGAACGGCTTGGAGGTCACCGTTTCCTTGGTCAACATACTCATCAAAAAAAAAAAAAAACCGATGGACAGGAATGTTAATCTCTGCGAGTCTTTGAAAAAAATGTTGATGTTTTTACTGCTTGACTCCGAGCCACATGTTGCTGGGGCGCATGGGGTAGCAGTAAACAGCCGTTGTATAAATAAGTCCTGTTTATTACGTCACAATTTTTCTGATTTTACGAATTTTGCATGAAAAATTCAACATCTGTTGATTTCAAATATGCGCTCGCCGACCGACGAATTACTCGATGAATTTCAGCTTTATAAACATACATGTATAAACGCACATTACAAAAAATTGGGAGTTTGTCATTATGATATACATGTATATGGGTCTACTCTACAATAAAAAAATACAAGAAACAAAAAGACGTTCAGCATGAAAATGTACTGTAATGTGATATAGTATACTGCACAATGTAAAAGTGAGGGATTGTGAAAGTCTTTTCATATAGTAATACCATAATTATTGTAATGACCATATCAGCGTGTAAATCTTCTTTCTTTTCTCTTGTAGAATAAAGCAGTGCATCACTGGGGGGAGTTTGTACACATGCAGTGTCCAACAAAGTCAATGCATATGGTTGATATGGACTTAGGTACTCTAACCCCTAAATCTCTTGAATTGGAAGGACCTCATTTGCACCAGCCAACTGCACATCATGATACTCTTCCTCATAAATCGTAAGTTTGTGCAATATGCACTTTAAAATATGTTCTCTACAAGCAGCACCGTTGCCAGCTCCTGGCATTGGGGGAGGGGGGGGGGGGTCACAGTACAAACTAGGGGCCACACCATAAAAAAGAAACCCAAAGATATACCTTTTTACACTTATGGTTTTTGTCGATTGGGGGGCCAGTTGGTTGCTCGTCGGGGTGGGGGGGGGGGGGGAGCTGGCTTAATGATTTTCTCAAGAATTGAATCAACTTGTAAGCAGTTGAACTAAAGGGCTTTTTTTGTAGAAGACCTAGAAACTCAGCTGAATGACACCCAGTTCTGCCCCAGCAGCAGTTCATTACAGGATCAACATCAATTGACCAGCCTTTTCCATTATACATGGACAAGCGCCTATGATCTCCTTCAATCCTTATGTCAGAATTCTGTCTGTTGCAGCTTGCCAGCTGAGATGTGCCGTCCTGATGCCATCAGCATTCACACCATTCAGTTGATGAAGCACAACCGCCGCATCCGGACAATTATTGCCGCTTCTCAGCAGCTGCAAACAGAAAGCAATGTACATGTAAGCGAAAGATTCATCCATTTATAGGCCCTATCCATCTATTATTATATGTTATAAATATATATATACACATGTATTTTAGAGTAAAGTATTAAAACCTTCAGCTTTTCGTATGCAACAGTAAAGTGATCAGAGGAATTCAAAGCATAAGTGAAAGATTCAGCACAATTTTAAGGAGTTTGGTAAACCAGAAAGTCTCAAAAAGTGATGGAAGTTCTTGTGATCAAACCAATGTGTGCTATCAGGATTCACTTCATATCGAATAATTCATGTAGGATATGTAGGATGTGTAACTTCATAAAGGTACACGTACATGTATGTATCTATGCTTGTAAGTTTTGATTTACTTGACTTACTGCTGTCCTGCTGCAGATTGAGGAATCTTTGGAGCTAGCAGTCGTTTCACCATGGAATTCCAGTAGGGCCTGTTGTAGGCTAATCTACATGCTTTGGACATTGTAGATATTCCGAGATCCAGGCAGCTTTGTTTGATGTTGTCCAACCAATGCTTGGGAGGCCTGCCCCTGGGTCTCTGTCCAGTGATTCCTCCTTCTAGGGCAACTTTGGGGTATCTGGTGTTTGGCATACAAATCACATGACCAAACTAGGACAACTGCTTTGCTCTTAATATTTTATCAACGATCGTAGGTTGTCATTTTGTGGCCGTTCGTATGGAAGTGTTTCTGATTTTGTCTCTTCTTGATATGCCTAGGATATGTCTGAGGCAGGACATCTCGAAGACTAGGAGTCTTTGCTCTTCCCGTTTCTTCAGTGTCCATGCTTCAGATCCATATGTAGCAGTTGACAGGATGAGTACTTTGTACAACTCAATCTCAGTGTCACAGCTTATATCTTTAGATTCCCAGAATGAAGACAGTGTTTGCGTATTGCCCATGGCTAGACCTTTCCCATTTTGATGTCTTGGCTGCTGGTAGATTTGTCGGTTATAACACCGCCCAGGAAGGTGAATGTTGGTACTTGCTTCAAAGGCATGTTCTCAATAAGAATTGAACTATGTTTGCTCTCTTTTATGATTATTTGCACCTCTTTTTACTCTGGTTAATGGTGAGACTGAATCTCTTGCTTGATATTTGAACCTTGGACACCAGTAGTTGGATATCTTCTTCAGATTCGGCAAGTAGGACAATGTCATCAGCAAATGGTACATGTAGGTTGTTGATTGTTTTTGCCTTGGACTGTGACACCTATGTTCATTTCCAGATTTGCCCTGGTGATGACTAGCTCAAGTAGGATTGAATTTGCTGCGATGATAGTATGCAACCCTGTCTGACGCCTGTAAGGATTTTAAACCAGTCCGTCAAGCCGTTGTTGTCTCTCACAGCGCCCTTGGAGATGATGTACAAGGCCTGGAGTAGTCTCACATTCTTGCCGGGTTAGCCCAGATGTCGCATAGTAGCCCAGAGTCCTTCTTGCCACAAGATGTCGAAGGCTTTTGTCATGTTTGTAGTCGATGTAGCAGAGGTACAAGGGATTTCTTATTTCGGTGTACTTTTCTATTAGGAGTGAACATCTGGTCTATTGTGCTTCGACCAGGTCTGAATCCAGCTTGTGAGTCAGATAATAGTTGTTCTGTTCTTTGCTCTTTGTTTCATTGTGCAAAATGGAGCAGAAGACCTTCCCTGCAAGACTGCGTAGACTTATACCCCTATAGTTGGCGCAGTCCAGTTTATCTTTTTTCTTGAATATGGGAACAATGATGGCTTTTCTGCTTGAGTAATGGGCGTGTCTTGTAATACGCTAGTGTCTGATTGCAACTGCTTCATAATGTAGCATTTCAGTATACAATCAGCATTTCAAATGTGTTGTCAAATGATCAGAATATTACATACAGTACATTAAAACTGATGTGATTATGGGAGGGCTTGAGATCTTATCGGCATTTCATATCTTTTAAAAAAGAAACTAAATAGGCCCTTCATTAAAAACACAACTGTTTAAATAATGATAACGACAGGATATATGTTTCCATGTCTAGGTTTATGTGATTTTTTCAAGAGATTTGAAAGGCATATCAGATCATTTATGTATTTTTTAATTGAAGAGGATATCAATGGAATTTTAGAGATAAAATTCTTTTTGAAATTCACATTATGTTGTATAAAAAGTAAATATGTGTAATGGATGGCACATTAGCTTGAAGCTAGTTGGAGTCAGCAATACTGACACATTGGACAGGGGAGGACCGTGAAGTCTGGTGCTAGGAGCTTGTAGTGTTCTTGCTGGGCTGAAACATAAACAGTGCCTCTGTTACTTCTAATAGAAAGGAGAAGACCGAGGTGCAAGACCAAGATTGCAGTCATTACCAGCGACACCTCTTATGCTGGTTCCAACTAAGAGGACCTGGGCTTCTAGCAGCGACAACATGGGCCAGTTAGAGCAGCATGATGAGTGAGTCTTTAAAAAGCCCCTTGTACACCTTTTGAATCTAGATGTTTGTGGACAAACCTATGGCTGTTTCTGCAATTTGTTGTATTTTTTGTCATCTTATAGACTGATATAACATAGATGTGCAGTAGAAAGTTGTATAGTGTTCAATCATCAGTGCCAATAGTTCAGAAGCTATAGGCTTATAAAAATGCACCTTAAATGTGATGTCACATTTCATGTGATGACGTCATCATGACATCAGGTCAATTTTCATCTATAACACAACTCGGCTTTTTTGTTGTTGAAAACTTTCAAAGAAACTTTATTCTTTCTTAATAAATTGTAGAGAGGAGGATGCCATGAAAATAACGTATGTCACTGGGACAGACAAGACAATATCAAATTACCATTTTTTTGATTGATGAAGATCTTTTTAACAACTGAGAATAGTAAGGGCCATGTAAACCCCAATTCATTTTTTTTCTAGACTGTTCAACCAAAGAAATAACTTGAAATAAAGACATGTTTACAGCTTTTCTGAAATAACGTTTGTTACATGGACAGATAGTAATAATCACGTTTGTGACAGCAAACTGAAACGATACTGATACTCAACCATGCAAGGCCGAAAATCGTATATCAGAATGCTCTACGGTGAGTGCACGAATAACCTTGTCAAGTTATACCAACGTTGTTGTACCAGACGTTGCAAACTGATAAATAAACTGACTTTTCTAAAGAGATGTAGAGATGCAAATGTAGTCCCAAAGAGTCTCCACCTACGAGACCTAATACAAGGAAACAATTCTTTTAAGCAAACGTACATTACTCATGGAACAGCAAACACTGATCATTAAAGATTAACATTTGAAATAACTTTAATGAAATGCCATATCCTGTACCATCACGCATTCATCACCAGTGTACAAAGCTTAACCGATAAAACACAAGACCCCGGATGTCATGACCTGAATTGTAAACAGGGCAGAGGTCATGACATCCAAGCCAACAGTGTGGGGGCGCTGTTCCATTGTAATTACTTTTTTAAGCAAACATACATTACTCATGGAACAGCAAACACTGAACATTAAAGATTAACATTTGAAATAACTTTAATGAAATGCCATAATAGGAGAGACAATGTTTAACAAGAACACCAAGAAATTTGGTAAACATTAGCATGTCAATTCCAAATACTGGCAGTAAAGCCAAGTAAACAGTAAGCCAAGTGTCTGTTATGCACCCAGTGATATGTTAACAAACCACCAAGTACAACTACATGTATGCTACACTTCTGCAGTATGCTCAAATTTCACTTATGACCAAACAAGTTATTACGAAAGTTTAGTGGAGTGTTGGAGTGAACAAAGTGGTCATAGAACACTGCTGGGCATTCCCAGCATCCAATTTTCCTGGCTACATCAGGATCACAGCCTGTGTCAATTGCAACTGTAGCTGCTGTGGGTCGGAAGGATTTTGCACTGAAACCCCGCCCCCCAAGTCCAGCCAGACCTATAGCGGAATTAAGCTGATCTGCAATTGATCCAGCTGACAATGCTCCATATGGTCTCTTAAGAGTGACGAACAGTGGGTCATCCTTGCATAACAGCCGATGGCTGTGGGATTTGCGGATGTAAGTGTGCAGGCAAGAGACTGGGTCCACCCACTGATTGTCCGCTGCTGGGATGGTAACTGAGAAGCCTTTACGGTGAATGTCATTCTTGATCCCGAAGAACTGGATTGACAGTTTTCCGTTCTCGTGGAAAGTAAGCTGACTTTTGCACATAACCATAGGCTCGCTAGGTCCATTTTCGTTGAACAGTACACCCTTAGGTGCAAGGTCGGATGGCCTCGCCATAACCGCGAGTGTCAAGAGCGTTATTGCTTTCAAGCATAGACGCTTTAAGTCCAGTCCTTCATTGTCACCCCAAGATTGGAAGAGACTGACAAAAGGCTGTATTGGCATGACAGATGAATGTGTCATTGGAGCAGTGGTACCACTCTTTTCAAGAGCGGTAATCAGTCTATGAAGCTCGGCAGAGTTTGTCGGATTGTTCTTGCCTGGAGAAGCCTGATGAAGGGCTGTCAAGGCAGCCATGGTGCTATGCAAAACTGACCGTGGCTTTGAGGATGAGTCCGCCACTAAGCACAGAAACTTTGCTAATGTGGCAGTGTCATATGGTGGATACTGCAATTGTCTTTCCACACAAAATTTGCGAAGTCTCTGTAATTGGCGGTCATATACACGCAGGGTAGTAGGCGCCCAGCTGAGTATGCATTGTGAGCTGGCCCTTGGTGACCAGTTCAACAGTTTTAAGTGACTGCTCCAGACACTCGCCAAGCCATAAGTTGCCAGTGGGCATTCTTTAGTGGTTCTGGTCTTACTCCCACTGACCACACAGTCCGTTTTGAGTTTGGGAGGGATATGGGTGGCGCTATTGACATTTCTTGAAGCGTTTGATACCAGATTTGTGCTGGCCAACATGGTGTGATCAATGTTGCTGTTGCGTGTTGCTGCTTGAGTGTCTCTATCACTTTTGGGATGAGTCGGAAAGGTGGGTTTACATAATTGTTTTCCGACCCCCAATTGTTCTGAGCCATAGCATCCACTCCCTCCGATCTTGGATCGAAGAAGCGCCTGTTGTAGCGGGGTAGCTGTGTGTTGAGGATTGTTGCACAGCGATCGATGGTGTGAGGGCCCCATTTTCTGTCCAGCCATTGGAAGAGACCCGCGTGAAGTCGCCATTCATACCGCGGGTTGAGTCGGGAGAGGGCATCGGCCAAACTGTTGTCCCGGCCTGCTAAATATCGTGCGGTGATGGCGATATTGTGTTGAAAAGCTAATGCCCATATCGCTGTTGAAATATCTGACAAGTCCTTTGCCGGGCCCCCGAGATGGTTCAAGTAGGCCACCGTGCTGATGTTGTCGGACACAATTTCGATTGACTTCTCCTTTACTGTGGGGAGGAACGAATGAAGTGCCATAAGTACTGCACACATTTCGCGATAATTGGAGGGCATGTTGCTCAACCTTTTGTTCCAAAAACCTGCTGCTTTTTGTTCAAGGATCCATGCTCCCCAACCTGTGGACGATGCATCGGTAAACATTTGGAGTTCCACAGGTCGTCGCTGTATTGGAGTGTGGTTCCAATTGTTTAGGGCCTCGCGCCGGAGTTTTCGCGTTTTCTCTTGAGGAATGCATATTGTTGGCACAGTGCCCGGGCAGGTTGAGATATTATACCCGATCCACAATTTTGTTTGTTCAGGTACCAATGAGGATTTGTCATAATTAATTGTCCACCCAAGATCCTAAAGAGTGGCAATTAGGAAGTCTGATTGGGCAGCAATATTACTTGGGGATGCCACAAGTAACCAGTCATCAACAAACAGGGCTGCACGTAAACCACAGACCCTAACATATTCAAGAACCGGTCGCAAAACTTTTGCAAAGAAGTAAGGTGAGGCGTTTAACCCAAATGGAAGTCTGGCCCAGCAATAATAATTATGATTCCATTTAAAACCTAGGAAGGTTTGATGACATTCACAAACAGGCACATGATAAAACCCATCCTTGAGATCAATCGTAATTAACTGGTCCTCACTCTTCACTAATGAATAAACAACGTCAATTTTCTCGTTAGAAAACTTGGGAGCATCAATGTAAGAATTCACAACACGTAAATCAATAATAAGTCTCCACTTATTTTTGCCCTTCTTCGGTACCACATTCAGTGGAGAGACAACTCTAGGTTTAAAGGCACATCTGGCAATAATACCTTTCTGAAGCAAGTTCTTAATCTCACTATTCAAAAATGTTATTTGATCACTTGCAAAATTTCTGTTAGGTAATTCAATCACCGGTGGGTCAGTGGTAAACGGTAGTGTAACACCGCATTGAAGCCAACTAATAACAGTAGGCGACGCACCTATTTCTTGCCACTTGGAATAGTTAGAGAGTGGCATGATTCAGAACTATTCTCCTCCACACATCCGTTCTACCTTGACTACGACCACCTACACCTCTACCATAATTTCTATAAGAATAACCCCTGCCTCTGGAGGCATATGACCTAGTATTTGAACGTGCCCCTGATGCTGGTTTTCTTGAAGCTGCGGCTACTTCTGCTGCTAATTTTAGCTGGTTCACCCCTCGATCAGAGAAGCAAGCATTGTTTTTCTGAAAGCTGCGAAACAACTTGGAGGTATCCTCGTCGAATTGTGATGCCACAATAACTGCCTCGTACTCACGCTGATTGTAGTCCAAGTTGGCTTTCAAACTTACAGCCAGCTGGTCCAAGAATGCTGGATCCACACTTTCATTCTTGTGAAGGTCGCTGTACGCTAGCTGAAGTACTTTCAGAGCTGTTTCTACGTAGCAACTGCTCTTTTTAGCAGAAAGTAAAGTGCCCTCTCAGTTTTATTATTGGTACCTGATGGGCAGGGGCCCTCACACAGCCTGAGGGAAGAGTCCAGATGTACTCGTGAGACGGTATCCTTAACCGCACTGAATTCCTTTTGGATATCTTCTTTACTGATGGCGGCCGCACCGGTGTCAGTGGCTGGTGTGTCTGCCTGATTATCACAGGTGCAATCAGGCTTGTCCTGTGGTGTCGTTTCGACCACACTGTCCTTTGTAACGGCTGACGTTTCCTCCAAATTCGGGGCAATCCTCGTTTCTAGTGCCGATAATCTCTTCTGAATATTGTTGAGCAAAGTCAACAGTTGTGTATTTTCACCAGAATTGTGCTCTGCAACAGACATTTTGTGTCAATTTGACGATTTTTTACGGCATCGAAAGCCGGATCATGCGGTGTGAATGCGTGATAGAACACAAGACCCCGGATGTCATGACCTGAATTGTAAACAGGGCAGAGGTCATGACATCCAAGCCAACAGTGTGGGGGCGCTCTTCCATTGTAATTACTGTGCTTGAATCATACACACTGCCAATAAAGCCCTACTCCGATCACAAATTGCCTCCACCCGATGTTTCCTATACCGAACTGATCAAGAAATAATGAGTAGGAAGGCTAGTCTCCGTACGACTATGCACACAACTGATTATGATAAGATATCAACCCTCACGGAGATCCAAAAATTCCAACGCCTCACTTCCTCTCACACAAAAAGAATAGACAGAGCCTCACGGAACACGTCCAAAAACAATCGGAACAATGATGACAAGGAGAAAACGAAGTTGGTGGTAAACCTCAGCCAACGCCATCTTTGTAAAACGAAATCAAACGTCTTAGCCTTGGGTATGAGTTTTGCCACCTACCCTAACAAGATTCCAGTAGAGGAGTTCATTCAATCGATTGAACCTTCTATTCGTAAACTTGGCATACAGAAAGCAGACGACATCTGTATGCAAGTACACCAAGTCCTGAAGCACTCAAAGCCTCCCATATCAAACATACATGTAACAATACTGGAACACCAGGCTATCAACAGCCTCTGCAATGTTACTTCATTACACATTCTAAAGGCAGAATGCAATTGTCATAATGGACTGCACAGAATATTATCAAAAGGTTCAGGATATCCTCAACACAGATACCTATGTATATCCGCCTAATCATAGCACAGCCTTACTGACTCCGTTATACAGGCATCTTTGCCCGCCAGCTCCAAATGCCCAAGATTCTTAGGCCAACCAAAGATTTACAAACCCGATAAACCACTCCAACCCAATGTGTCTTCAACCTACAACCTCGCACAACACTTAACATATAAATCTCCTACACCCACTCGTTGGCAACACGCCTCACCATGCACCCAATTCAGCAGGGTTCATCAACACCGTAAAGGGAATTCAACTACAACCCGCCGACATGCTAGTGAATTTTGATGTCAAGTCTTTATTCACTAATGTACCGACTGAAGAGGCATGCCTCGTAACCAGTCTCAGACCCCGAACACACCTGACATGCCGGTTGCCGTCCTTCCATGCATTGGCCATGCATCGCACAAGATCCAGCGTACCCTCCATGAAGTCAATATTAAGGTCTACTACCAAACCCGGAATAAATTAGAAGTGAAATTGAACACCAACAAAGACAAACACATTCCGAGCAGTCAAGCAGGAGTTTACTGAATTCCTTGCTCGTGTGGCAAAGTGTTGCATAATCAGCACTGCTTTTCCCCTCCATTTTTGCATGCGGTTGCCCTTATCAGAACTTGCTGTGTGACACAGTACATGTATTAGAATTTTTTTTAAAGATTTCTGTCTGTTTTCACAAAATGTTAATTTTGGGGTGTGATTACACAGCATGAGCTATTGGTGAGGGGGCCACCTCCTTCCCTTTAGTTTGTACATGTACACCACTTCTTTTATACAAATATCTTGCCTATTTTTGTGTAATTTTAATTTAAACAATGGAGATGCCTTACATGCACACCAGGTTGGGTTATATAATCCTTTTATCTTTCTACCATTCTATTCTCTCTTTTTCTAAAGAATATGCAAGCCAACAATATTAAACACTAGTGTACAAAATGAAATGTTCACATCCAGAAAACTGAGCAGGCGAGCTGTGGCTACAATATGTGCACATGCGGGCTATGAAAGTAAGTGGCTGATGACCTTTGATATTCTCATCTTTACTTCTGTAGAACGATAGTTGCCATCCCCCTCCCCTGTCTCCCAAATGTGTTTCCCCTCTCTCTTGCTAAAATTCTTGGAGCATTTATTTTTCATTATAGCCATAAAGAGGAAATATTTGTTTCAGAATGAAAGGGAACAAATTAAAGAAACATGAAATACTCAACTAATACAACAGCATAGTTTTAACGCACACTTGAGTTTACCCACTCTCTGGCTAGAGCTGGATTTCCTCATCAATGAGATTAAGTCTCAGGTGATCCCGTTTCATAGGCTGACAAACATGTTTGCTGCTTACCGGTATGACCTATCGGGTGTCTACAAAAAAGTATACCCATTTTTAAACATAAATTATCACAAAATCCACTGAATATTTCAGAAAAAGAGGTATCCAGAAACTCCAAGACAGACGGAAATTGTCCATGGTGTTCTAATTGTTGGACATTCTCACAAAATGTGAAAGGCCATGTGTCAAGATAAATCAGGACATGAGCACAGAATCATTGACAGATGAATAGTGGCAAAGCAACTGTCACTGTTCCCCAACTGATCCCTTAGATTCCAAGGGGACCCTTGCCAGAACTGCCTAGAAAGATGTTTTTAAGAGGTTCATGCCTCAGCAAATTCAGCCTACTGGCAAAGAGAAATGTGCATTCTGGCAGGCAATTTGCCACCTGGATTAAAATCGATCTGAGTATGTGATGATCATGCACACTGAAGCATCCAAGTCAAAGCCAAAGCATTGTGCCAACTAATGGCCAAAATAACTGCCCATTCTGGCAACTAGGATGCCTCTGAAAGCACCGTAATCACCTGACTTTGGCATGACACCTTTCACTTTTTGGAATCGCTATATAAAACTTGTATGATGATGCCCCTCTTCATTGCATTTAATGAAGTAGTTGTAGCTTTGAAAGCTATGCACACTTTCACTCTAGTTAGTCATTTAAGGTGATACCTTACTTTTCCATTTGATTTTGCCTGACTAACACAGCTGCCCACCACTTGTTTGTATAGTGAGCCAAGAATCAGCCACTGAAACCCTGACTGATGTTCTTCATGAGTATTTGACTAAGGTGTGCAAGTTGCTAAGGGGGGCCGTGGACAAGGAGGCACTGACAAGCTGCACTGGATTCCAGGTGGGTTATGTCAACACAGGTGCTTGGATTGAAGTCTGCATATTTTAACATTCAAATTTGAGTACAGTTTTCTGGTTTGGAATTTGGAAACTTGAGATTTGAAACCAGTGTTGAGAACAACTGTCAAGTATACGGAGCACTTTGACCCTATTTCCACATTTGTGTTCCTGGCAAGAATTTATTACAACATACCTAATTTCTTCTTTGCATAGAACTGATAACTTTTTTTCAATTTTAGAAGGATGATTTACATTAATAAATAGATTCTGATGTCAGCTTATCTTTGTCGATGTTACTTGATAAATTAATGCAATGGGGCATCGGTATGGCTGATTATTTCTGTCACAATAGCTTCAAACAAAGCAGTTTGTAATGACGATCACTTTTATGCTACAATATTTTACACTACTGTTTGTGAATTAATGCATTTTTCTTAACACAATGACAGACATGAGTGTACAAACTCATAAATGCTCAGCATGAAAGAATATCACATGAGATATCCGACACAATGAACTGGGGCAATTTCTGCAAGCACATCAGCTTACTACTCACCGGTGTTCCTGGCAAGAAGTTATTAGAATGTGTCTTTTGTTTTTTCTTCATGTTTCTAAAGGCGAAGTTGGAAATTTGAATATATTCTGTATCAACAAATTCTGTTTTACATATTTTAGAATCTCCAGTTTCACAAGTCAGTAGTCATTTCACATCTCATAGATTGTTGAAATTCCTTTTTTTTCTGCTGAGAATAAAAGTCATTGTGTGGATGATGTGACCTGTACTGTAGAGTCATTTCTTACAGTGTTGATTTCAATCAAACTTTTATAAGCCATTTTCTGGGCTTAGAAACCACTTGTCTTTTCCACAGGATGTTTTGTCGCAAGTCCTGCAAGAGATTGGCATAGGTGACACAGAGACACTCTTCAAATTCTGGAAAGCTGGGATTAAGGACTACCATGCCTTCATACAGAAGAGAAATTCTCAACTCAGGGAGCAGTATGACAAACTAAGGGTGGGTACTGAAGCTCTAGTCTTGCTGAAATTAGTGGAAGTGCCTTATAAAAGAAACCAGGCTCCACAAACTGGCTTCAACCATGATACCATGACACCAAGCATGTTTTGTGGTAAGTACATTCCACTCAATAATCTATGAGGAGTGCCAACATTGTATACACATATGATTCGAGCTCCTGCATCAGTTTAAAGGTATAGTCCATCATTTGTAATTTGTGCATTTTGTTCGTTTGAAGCAACAAACATGCTCAAAATCTAAGGAAGGGCACTGAACAACTAACCTGATGAAGTTTCAGCTCAGCTTCAGCTGTACATTTGGAGAAAAACATCATGCTAGGTTCTCGATTTCAAATCAAAAGTTGCTGAATCATGTTTTGAATTGGGCCTGAATTCAGCGTCTGAGACACGTTCTCACTGAGCTGATTGCATCTACGCGATGTCGCGCACTGATCTGACGAATTATAGCAACCAAGCGCGTGTGTGAATCGTGTCAACGCTTGCGCGCGCTTCGCCGAATAAAAAGAACGAACTACTAACGGAAATTTCCAACGGTGCTTCTTAAGACGCACCGTTGGAAATGCCTTCTTTTGTCATGTTTGTTGATTTTTTTCAAAATGGCAGCTTGCCAGAAAGAATAATTTCACAGGGAGTTTAGTCCCCTTACTATCTTTCAACCAAGTATGTTTTTCAACAATAATTACGTCAGTTACTTTTTGATTAGCTGCAAATGATGGACTCTGGCTTTAAGCAGCCATCGCAGACACAAGCACTCAATAACCAGTAAAAGTATCATGATGGGAAGGAGATCCACTGCTACGTCCATAAAAATCGGGCTGACTGGGCAACATCTTTCAGTTTTCATGACATTGTAGGTGACTTCATGAAAAATCTTAATGCATGGGGATAAAATATTTGGAAGGGGAATCATTGACATTGGTGTGCCCAAACATAAATTTATTGGGGGATATGTCCCTCTTTTGACCACCCTCCTCCCACTAGTTCAATACTTGAGATGTCTAGAGGATTTACTCAAGGTGGCAAACATATTTTTTTTCTGCAAAATCCTGCACTGAATTAGGTGATAATGGCTCTGTAAACTTTATCATAGACTCCTACCACTCCTCTGTGGGGAATTTTGCATCAATAGGATATTAATTATAAGATTTCTTTTTCTTATTCAGAATCCAGGTGATGCAATAGTGTCCAGCGATTCCAAGTCTCCTAGGTAAGATCCTGTTGTACATGCTACCATCAATAAACTTTTCATTACCCACTTGATAATTGGAATGGCTTTTTAAAAAAGCCTCTTTTTTCTCAGATTTTTTTTTTCTTTCTTTCTTTTTGTTCCCAAAAATGCCATAGACTTTGGATATGATTTTTCTACGGAGCACTTTTGGCATTCATCTTTGTCATACATCGTTCAAAGTTAGCATAGACATAGTCCCTATAGTAAAGTTGTGTCCCGAAGAGTGACGTCGTGATTACATCATCAGGGGTCACATGACGTCATCACAAACATGCATATTTTGAAGTCCTAACTGTAAGTCCGATTCGGTTCTAACTTGGTATGTCGGTAGACCGGGATGTGTTATAGGTAAAAAACGAGGTGACGTCATGATGACGTCATCATGCAATTTTATATGAAGTTTTGGACCTTTAAGCTATATCTCACGAATGCAACATACAAAATTCAAAATTCTTTTCATATTTGGTTTGTTAGGTAATAGGTATTTGCACGGCACGAAATTTTGAAAATGTGTGACGTCGTCATGATGTCATCAAAAATGCAATTTTTTTAAAACACATCTAAGGAAAGGTCCGATGGTTATGAAACTTGGTGGGTAGGTAGATAATGGTACTAGTATGCAAAGTCCGAAGTGTCGTCATGATGACGTAATTGTTTGATTTTTTATGATTTTTTAATATTTATATTTTTATTCTGCTTCTAAATTTGCACACTTCCTTTCATCGGATTGACTGTAAACTTGGTTCAAAGCAAGACCACAATGACAAAATGTGCATTGAGAAGGGTTTTCAAGATGATGTCATCACAGGGCATGTGATGTCATGCGATAAAGCTTTTTTGGGGAATTTTTCTAAGCATTGTGAACAACCTTTAACTGTATCAAAGACTCTAAAAAGTGACTGCAAAAGTACTAACATAACATAAACATTAATAAAATGCGAAAAAAGCCGTATGTTCTGTTTGAACAGACATAGCTCTACTTTTCTTTTTCTTTTTCTTTAATGCAGGAATTCAATTCCTGACTACAATAGTAAGATATGTACTTGTCATGGGGTAATCCAAGCCATGTCAATAGTCAGTTTCACCTTAATGTGTGGTTGGTGTGATTATATTGTAAATGAACACAGCCATGATAGGTAGCCTTAGAGGCACTGTACAGTCATAAGACAGAAAGATCAAAGAGTTAGGCCAGTAGGCATACCTTTTAAAGCTGGCTTTGTACATGGAGCAACAAAACAAACGTAATCTGAAAATATCGGTATCTGAAAGTTATTTATTTGGACATTGCCAGAGTGATTCATCTGCTTTCCTTTAATTCCTTATTTGCATCTCTGCAGTGTCAGATGACCAGTGTCTCACTAGTTTCTGGGGAATGATCATAAACATTTTACCTGTGATATTCAGCTGTTAATACATCAATTAAAGATTGTGCATGTGTAATTAAATGACCAAATTGAAAAGTAAGCAAAATGAATGTGCATGATATGCACAGAGTAGGTCTGACTATGTTTCAAATTGTTTTAGGAGTGTGTCCCACTTCTATTGCAAGAGGTAAAAATAAGTTATCAATGCCGTTCTTTGAACTTTGTTTTTCATTAAATGTCTCATTCAAAAGTTAATAATTTTGTGTTTACAAGATTAGAAATTCAGTTTAGCAGTTGTACCACCTAATATTCTTTTGGAAAAAAACTTAAATTTTGGTTTGCAATTTTTATGCAAAACAGATGCCACCACCCATCCCCCTGCTAATACACTTGTTCATGCTCTCTATTTTATATGTATATTCTGATAGAGGCAGGAACCATATTGCCCTACTGAGTCATTGTTGAACTGAATTATTGTTGGGCCACAAATAATTAGATAATTGTGAAGTAATCAACCACAATTAAATGTGGGCCTGTTTTTATTGGATGTTGGATGGGGGGGGGGGGGGGAGAGACAGACAGTACATCTTTAAACACTGACACAATGATAATATATTAAAATTTTGTCAATACTGATACAATTGCTTAACTTTGAGTGATACAATTAAAACACACTCAGATTCAAAGAAGAGCCATTCATAGACATCCAGTTTCCAGACAACGAGCAAGATTCAGAGATCATTTCTGATGTGCCAGAACAGCCAAATCAGCCATTGAATTTACATAGTCTCAATGCTATGGAACTAGAGGACCAGAGCCGTGCGACAACTGGCATGACTGAAGAGGGTAATCACTGGTATCCATCAGCATACATCAAGACAGAACCAGGGACTGAGGCAGGATCAAGGCAAGGGGACGGTCAGGCAAAAGAACTTCAAGAGCACTCTAATGATGAGGTGGGTGTAATTCTATTCTTTTCTCTCTTTTGTGCTCACTGATATTCACTAGCTGCGAACAGTGAAGATATCTGTTAACGATGAGTGGCTAGGTTTATGACTGGGCCTCTGGTTCATATTCCGCTACAGTGAAACGTCGCTATAACGAACATCACAGGATCCACAGAAATTGTTCATAATAGCGATCGTGCAGTATAGCGATTTTAAGCTGCCAGTGCTCTGATAACTCACTTTTCAATAAATAGCCCTCTGCAGAACTTCACCCTGCACGCCCTGGTAGTTTGGACCAACCAATTGCGGCGAAGGGTGTGCTTTTCTCATTAAAATTTGCCAGCATTTTCATTTTTTTTTCACCGTGTCAAAATTAAAAAAAATTTTTTTATGGGGGTCTGAAACCTTTCCCATGTTCAGAATAAGTTCTTAATTTTCGCAATATATTTTTTTTCGTAAAGAATGTATACGAAAAATGATGTAATCTCTCAAAAGAGGGTGAAACACCCCTTTACAAAATTAATGGATCCGTCCACAGAGTGACTCTTCATGGCAGTCGCAAATCGAAAAGTTATTATTTTTTTACGGCAGCTACTTGTCAGCGTGTTGCTAAAATAATTATGATTTCATAAGTTTGGCACAGTAAAAGGACCTGTTTGTTCTTAGAACAAAACTAATCAGCAATTATTGCCATGAAGCAAGTTTTTAGTGCTCAGAAGGGCATGCTCGGACGGGACGGAACTCGTCGGGAAAACTGTCAGCGCGTGTGGGAAAATTTTCTATCATAGTTGCCGGGCCGGGCCGGATAGGGCTGCGACTAACACGGTAACAATTTACGATGTTCATTTCTCAACGTCATCAAGTCAAATTATAACGGGATTTTGTTTACACAACAAAAATAAGATTCATCCTTCAACTTGTGTTGTATAGCATGTGGAAATTGCGGTGCCTATTTCTGTCAGATACATGTGCGCGGTGCACACGTGTTTGTTCGAACAGGGAAACGGCCTCTGTGCTTTTCATTGTAGCCCAATACATTGACATGTACATTATGTATGCACTTCAGAAGCTGAACTGAAGTTCGGAGAAAAAAAATCGAACCGCAACCAAACCGAACCAAAACCGAACTTTGAGTGTCAGTTGCAGCACTACATGTACACGGGTATTAGTATCAGCAGAATAATCAACCATCTAGGCATAACTGACATACTCTAAGGACAGGATATCACTGACCTGCCAAAACAGTCATGGCAATTCTGGTTCACCACAGACTTGAACCTTTTCTATTTCTTGTTTATCAACGCTGTGCACTTGCTTTATAGCATGAACACTAAGTGGATGTTTGTGTGCATATTTCATTTGGGGGATCAGGTTGACATAGTGTTACGTTCCTCGCCGTCCATCTCTGTGCCCCAGTTACAAGGCAGCCCAGGCCATCATGTTCATTTGCATTTCAGTCGCTTCCTGATTCGGTAGGCTTTTCTTGGAAAGTCATTCTGAGGTTTTCCTACCACCTCTAAAATTTGAGTTTTCTTTCCGGCTTTTAAATATAGGAGCCCCAGGAGAAGTAAGTCAAAAGACTTCCATTTACTATCCTATCAGGAACACTCTCTGGAGTTTGCATACAATTATTACAAGTTTTTCTTGTAATAATTTTTTTTTTTATTTATTTCTTTTTCCAAATTCAGGCAGAAGAAGTGATTGGCCCCAGCCATTCTAGTACATCGCCTGTTGTTGACGTGGACGTCACATCACCACAAGCTCATACTGGTCATGAGATGACCCTCATGAATCCTAGGAAGAAGTAATAACTTGTTTTTGAATTAATTACAATCAAAATGGAAATCAACAACCACAGTTGGCTGTGTACCCCTTATGAGCATTGGTTCAAGCTAATTTATTCAGAACAAGAAAGTTGATGGTAGTTTCTACAGGTCATTGCCTTGAGTCCCTTAAAAGCCAAAGGTCCCCCCCCCCAAAAAAAAAGTGTTGCTGCATAGTTAATAGAAAATAGATCCCCTCACACAGATTTCTGCTAGCAAGTCCACTCAGGTCTTGGATAGTGGCACAGCTAGAGACCAAGGGGTCAACAATTGGGAGGGGGCCTGATTTCCATTTCCATGTCATCCACAGTATTTGTGGATATACACGTTAGCTACAATGTAAACGCTGGTAGGATCACTCTGACCAACTCAGTCAGAAATTTTAAAGAGGATTTGGGTTTTGATGACTTTTGACTTAACTCATAAAGCATTTCTTAGGTGGCCATTTAAGACATTTTAATTAAGCTTTCATCCACATTGAAATCATTCTCTAAAATGTGGGGTGATTTAACCAGGAATGACTTAGCATACTTCACAGTGTTTTTTTTCTTCTAAATTCAAATTTAACTTTAAAGATTACAAATTTATGAAATGATAGAACGTGAACCTTGAATAGATCAAGAAATGTGTTTGCATGTTTTCGCACGTAACATAAAAAGTAACTAAAAGGAATTATTATTTTGTTTTTGAATAGACTACTGCGCTTTACCAATCTTACAGTTAGGTTATTGTGCACAAGATGTCCAGTTTCCTTCTTTCACATTCTTATCTAATTATCTTCTTTACAGGAGGAAGAAATGAAATGTATGGATGTGATCATCATCTACAGACTGTTCTTAATCATAGACAATTGACCAGTGATGTACTCCATGCGAGTGTCCTGAGCATCGTTCTGGAAATGAATTCAGCATGGCCTCCAGCCTGCAGCATTTTCTATTGCACACAAACACACATCATCGTGAATCATGATAGATAATAATCATAATAAGTTCATTTTAAGTTTACTTACATGTAAAAATGTTATTCATAAATGCCTGAGACAGTTTGCTCATTCCTCTTGGTCGAGAGCCCATCACATGGGTAGTCTTAAACCGCTGTTTAAACACCAGTAAGCAGCGTTTGAGGCTGGTCATTAACAGTGTATGAGGCTCTGCGCCACATATGCAGTGTGCGTACCATGTACGCCAGCTACAACAGAGTGAACCAGTGAGTACGCCGTGCACGATGCGCACCATAGAAGTGGCCTAAACATGGACTAAGTTCGTTGTACTTTTCCACATTTTATGACTTTTAATTAAAAAGGTATGTATGAATGGGAATAATAGTGTGATGAAGCATTTATAAACATGATGTTCAATAAAAGCCAATATCGGCAGCCAGTCATGTACATTTTTTGTAACTGCTTAGTTACAATGCATTGCGAGTCAAGGTTTTTTTAAGTAATTAAATGTTGAGACAACATTTTACAAGTATTACCGTTCTTATACTTGTCTGAAAAAAATAAAGATTTACTAAAAAGAGCCCATTTGTAACGGCTGTCCATGGACTGTAATTTCAGTACCCCTAAAAGACTAGTTCCTGGCAAAGCCTCATTATCAATATAGTTTGCACTGCACACTAAATCGGCCTTCTGAACAATCAGTGCAAGGGTGGTTATGACAGCGCATCATTGATAGTTTAAAGGGAATATTGTAGCGGAAAGTGTAGGGACTTGTAGCTAGTTTATTTACAACGTCATCCCTATTGCACTAACGTAAATTCACTGTGTGTTGGTGACTGGGCGGAGCATAAGAGCCCAGTGGCTGAATGCGCGTACGCTATTGGTTGCCTAAGGCCCATAGGTTTAGTACATGCATATGTGTTTGTACGGACTGCATGTTCACGTGAGGGCTATTCACGTGATCGCGCGGAGGAGTTGTGCTGTGGACAGCGGACGGTAAGGTCGTATATTGCTCGCGCTCTGTGTTTGGGTAATGCTGACGCGCACTGTGTAAATTGCGCTGGTCCTTACGGTGCTGAAGTTGCGCTGTGTGAGGCTGACGCGCAGCCGTACAAGGGAATGTACTGTACGATACTGACGCTAGCTTGCATGGGTAAAGCGTAAATCAGGTTAAGGCTGACGGCGTATATTACTTACATTGGCGTGCATTACTTACACTTGCGTGTGTTATTTACATTGACGTGCACTACTTACATTGGCTTGTGTTATTTACAGTGGCGTACGTTACTTACATTGGTGTGTGTTGTTTACTTAGTGTACGTTGTTGACTTCGTGTACATTGTTTACTTAGTGTACATGGTTTACTTAGTGTACGTTGTTGACTTGGTGTACATTGTTTACTTAGTGTACATTGTTTACTTAGTGTATATTGTTGACTTACCAGTGCATTGTTTACATTAGTGCACCTTGTTGACTTACCAGTGCATTGTTTACATTGGGCACATTGCTCAAGCTGTGCGCATTAATTGCTGCTTAGGTGAGCTGTTAGCTGACTTGCATCTGTATATAAGGGACCCTGATAATTAACCACCTCATTAAGACTCAATCACTACTGCCTATTTCTTGATTATTGTATAATAAATTACGTTCATATTTGTTGTGCCGACAATCCTGTTGTCCATGTGTATTTGTTGTTGGTTTATTGTGCAATTAACAGTGGGTAATCACAATCATCATAATCGGCGGTATATTTCCTCCAAAACGGACCTGCTCCCTAGGCCTTGAGGTCGCTCTGAGTGGTCTCTCGTCTTGGGAAAGCTTGCGTTCGGGAAGATCAGCTACACTCTAATAGGTGTCAGACTTGGTCCCAACGAACTTAGGTTTGGCCCGGGGAGATCCCCGCCACAAATGGTGTCAGAAGTGGGATGATTATGATTGATTAAGTGATTTCTCTGCTAAGTTATTTGATTGCACATTGTGTTTTGACTTGTATTGCTAATTGTACTGTGGTTTAATCGGTTGGTTGTTGTTTGTGATTGTTGTGGTTGTTTTCAATTATGAGCAGAGGCTCGCAGGGTCAAGCGGGCACCTCAAGTGCTGAGGCTGAGGTGCAGCGACTGCGTATGGAAGCTCAATTTCTGCAGTGGGAAAAAGATCTCATTGCAAAGAAGTTGGAGGCTGCCATGGAGATGCAGTCGGGTGGTTCCCCAAATGGAAGGAACACGATCACGCCAGGTGGGAGCCGGCGTATGTTCCATCAGGTAGATACCGATGTTGAGTTTAGGTTGCCCGAAGAGACTACTGGGTATGTCTCCGGAGCAATGGGGAGAAGAGAGTCAGACACAAAGATGTTGACTGACGGGGCCCACAAACGTGGGAGGGAGGTGAGCTTTATGGAAAGTACGCCTCTGAAAGACTCGAGCTCAGGGATGAAACCCCGAGCAGGGTCAACGCCAATCGCCTTGGAACGCGAGAGTCAAGTCATAGACGACTTAACGCTGTTCCTGTCCGGGCAAGATGGCGTAGAACAGGGTAAGCCAAGCACTAACCCGTTCGAGTGTGATAGGGAAAAAGTGAACCCTACACAAGTGCACAGCGATCTGCTAAGTTTCGCAACTCGACCAGTCGAGGCAAAAAACAGCAGTTCAGCTGAAAGAGTGGACAGCTCGTCAGTAGGTCCTTGGCCACTGAAACGAGAGGCACGTGTCCATGGCGACTTAGGTCTGAAGGGAAGCGAAAGGCCACCAAATCGTAGGCCAAACATAACCCCTGACCGGTACAGCGGGAAAGTGCTCTGGAAGGAGTACTTCCGCCATTTCGAGTCATGCCGTGAGGTAAACCAGTGGAGCGAAGAGCAAGCTGCGAAGTGGTTATCCGCAAGCTTGCAAGGGGATGCTCTACGGTTGGTGGGCGACTCTGGGCAAAAGCACACGTACAGTGCGCTTGTCAAGTTGCTTGAGCGTAGGTTTGGGTCAGCTCGACAGAGTGAGAATTATCTCGTTGAGCTAAGACACCGGCGCCAAAAGCAGAAAGAGGGATTGCTAGAATTAGGGCAAGCAATCCACGAGTTAACGGTGCGAGCATACCCTGAAATACAGGAAGAAGCTTGCGAGAAGTTGGCAAAGAACCACTTCATAGATGCCGTTGACAGCCACTCAATTAGAGAGGGCATCAACAGAGCCCGTCCAAAAACTTTGGACGAAGCAGTCCAGGCTGCCCTGGAGACTGAGAATTTTGAGAAGGTCGAACAGCATAGGTTGCTGGACCGAAAGCCCGCCAAATTGGCAAGGGAAGGCTGAGTGGTCGAGAGGGTCCAAAAGTAGACTCGGTGATGAAACCAAAAATGGAAATGGGAGGTCCACATGGGAGGATGGGCAACGAGTAATAACTCTGTCTGATCCAAGCCGTGGTCCTCGGTATGGGTTGTTTGTGAATGGGTTGGTAAGAGCAACCAAGTGTCGATTCTTGATTGACACGGGGTCCACCGACACTCTAATCAGTAGTGCGGTGTATTACCAAATCCCGAAAGGGAAAAGACCCGTCTTGGAGACGGTAGATGTCCAAGTCAAACAGGTGGACGGAAGCCAGTTAGCTGTGCTTGGCATGGCTCTGGTTGAGGTGCAAGTTGGCAGGACCACGCACCAAGTGAAGGCTGTGTTTGCTGAGATCAAATACAGTGGTATCCTGGGCATGGATTTTCTCGTGCCAACAGGTGGAATCATAGACTTCCAATTAAGGGAGTGGAGGCTCAATGGTGAGCGGGTCAAGTGCACAAATGATGCAGGCGAGCCCTTTGTGGGACGCGTTGTAGTTTGTAAAACTACGGTAATCCCACCAGGTCATGAAGCTGTGGTCCCCGGCAAAATTGCTCGGAAGGGTCCCGACTTGCTCGGGCCAGCCATGGTCGAACCGGTTGAAGGTGGTGGAGACCTAGCCAAGAAAGGCTTGATGTTGGCCAGATCTCTGGTTGAGACTGAAGCCGATGTTGTTCCGCTGCGGGTCTTCAATCCCGGAAGGGAGAAAAGAGTTGCCCGTGAGGGAACAACAGCTGGGGTTATCTCCCAAGTTGAGGCAAGTTCTATTCATGATGAATTGAACGCGGAGGCAAACACAGGGAAGGAGTTGCCCCTGCATTTGCAAGACTTATATGAAAAGGGTACAGCCAAAGTAGAGGCCAAGTACCATGGTGATGTCCGGAAATGTCTGATAGACTTCCAGGATGTGTTGTCCAAGGGTGACCATGACATCGGTCGCACGGACGTGGTCAAGCATCACATAAACACTGGTGATGCTAGGCCGATCAAAGAGCGGGTGAGGCGTCATCCGTACCTGCATCAGCAGGAAATCCAGGAGCAAATAAGCGACCTGGAGAAGCGGGGAGTAATAGAACCCTCCGATAGTCCCTGGGCAGCTAATGTTGTCCTGGTTGACAAGAAAGACGGTAAGAAGCGCTTCTGTGTTGACTACAGAAAGCTAAATTCAGTCACCGTCAAAGATGCGTACCCTGTCCCGCGCATCGATGAAACATTCGATGCATTGCAAGGGGCAAAGTGGTTCTGTACACTCGACTTAACGTCGGGGTACTGGCAAGTCGCTCTTGACGAGGACGCCTGTCAAAAGTCCACATTTGTTGTGAGAAATGGGTTGTATCGGTGGAAGTGCATGCCCTTTGGGCTTTGCAACGCCCCGGCAACCTTTGAGCGGCTCATGGAAAAAGTCATGGCCGGCTTACAGTGGGAAATCCTACTGATATATTTGGATGACATCATTGTGTTCTGTAGAACAGTGCCGGAGACCTTAGAACGTCTCCGAGTGGTGTTTGATCGGCTAAGACACGCCGGGCTGAAGTTAAAGCCCAGCAAGTGCCATTTGTTTCAGGAGTCTGTTGCTTACCTGGGGCACATTGTGTCATCAGAAGGCGTGGCCACAGACTCCCAAAAGGTTGAAGCGGTGGCAAACTGGCCAATTCCAAGGTGTGTACGAGATGTGAGAAGCTTTTTGGGCCTCGCCTCGTACTACCGGAAGTTCATACAGGGATTTGCAAAAATTGCGAGCCCACTCCATGCCCTGACCGAGAAGTCAAAGGAGTTCGTATTGACCGAGAGTTGTCAACAGGCATTTGACGAGCTGAAGAGCAGGCTTCAAGCTGCTCCGGTTCTGTCATACCCAGTGCCTGAGGATGACTTTATCTTGGACACCGATGCCAGTGGTGACGGTATCGGGGCGGTGCTATCCCAGGTCCAAGATGGTGACGAGAAAGTGCTTGCTTATGCAAGTCGGAAGCTCAGCAAACCTGAGCGGAACTACTGGGTCACTCGCAAAGAGTTGTTGGCTGTGGTGGTATATTTGAAGTATTTCAAACAATACCTGTATGGCCGAAAGGTGACCGTCAGAACTGACCATGCCGCATTGCGGTGGGTACTTAATTTTAAGAACCCCGAGGGTCAGCTGGCAAGGTGGATGGAAGTCCTGTCTCAATACGACTTAGTCGTAGAGCACAGAAGCGGAAAGAAGCATGGAAATGCTGATGGGATGTCCAGACGGCCATGCAAACAGTGCGGCCGTGATGAAGAATATGAGACAAC